AACTATTATCCTCAATATAGGGAGAAGATTCAAAGGTCCTGCTCAACCAGTTCAAGTGGATGACGTTTCCTCTGAGGAAGACGACAACCAAGAGGAGGATGGCAGAAGTGTTAGGGGTGAAGATAGAAATATCCAGGGTTCTGAGAATATTCATGAAGATGAATACTATTTCGGTGAACATTACCCTCCTGTAGATGACAAGTACAAGTAGTTAGAAGACCGACTCAAAGCTGTGGAAATCCAGAAAGTGCCTGGATTGGATTTTGGAGAACTAGGTTTGATCTCGGGGGTGGTCATCCCTCATAGATTCAAGGTCCCTATCTTTGCTAAATATGATGGGGTCTCTTGTCCCAAAATTCATTTGAGGTTGTATGTTCGAAAAATCCAACATCATATTATAGACAGGAAATTGTGGGTCCATTTATTTCAAGAAAGTTTGTCCGGTACTCAACTTGAATGGTTGTACCAACTGGAAGGAACCAACATTCACACATTGGAAGACTTGGCTGCTGCTTTTTATAAGCAGTATCAATATTATGCTGACCTTGCACCAACTCGTGTACAATTGCAAAACGTGTCCATGGGATCGAATGAAGGGTTCAAGGAGTATGCCCAGAAGTGGAGAGACTTAGCTGGAAGGGTCCAACCTCCCTTGTCGGACTGGGAATTAGTTGATATGTTCATGGGTACTCTGACATGCCCATTCTTTAACCATCTGGTTAGGAGTTCTTCATCTGGCTTTACTGAGCTAATTCTGATAGGAGAAAAAGTTGAAAGTTGTATTAAGAGTGGGAAGATTCCATTGGCTGCAACTAATGTTGTGAAGAAGCCATTCGGTGGTAAATAAGAAACCAATGTTGTCTATGGCCAAAAAAGCCGTAGTAAAAATGATCGTTATTAGTCTATGGGAGCGATGTTGATCTCTAATCCAACGCCTATTAAACAATCACAACAGGGCAACCGTCAAAGGCCAGATGCTCCCTCAAGGCAGTTTACCAAGATTGGCATGCCTTTATCTCAGGAATTACAACATTTGTTAAAGGCTGAACTCATTTCCCTACGGGATCCTCCTCAGAATCCTAACACATCCTCTCCAAAGTACAATCCAAATGTGAGGTGCGCCTATCATTCGAACATTCTTGGGCATGAAACCAACAACTGTTGGGTCCTGAAAAGAAAGATTCAAGATATGATCGATTATAAGGAAATTGAGTTTGATCCCCAGGAGACTCCGAACGTGATTACTGCACCTATGCCTAAGCATGACAAAGGCATAAGTGCTATTGAAGATGTATTGTATGTTGCCTCCGTAAGTGATGTGGTTACTCCTCTCTCAATAGTCAAGGAGAACTTGCTACAAGCCGGTTTATTTTCGGGTTATGTTAAAGAATGTTATTGTTGTGCAGTTCAACCCAATGGTTGCGGGTTACTGAAGGAAGGCGTTCAACGCCTGATAGATGAACATGTAATTTTGATTGAGAAAGTTCCGTATGCTGAGAATTTATACTGAGACTTGTCTGTCATATTTGGTACTCCTTTCAGGATCACTTCTAAGGGTCCTGTAAGGATTACTGCCAATCCAAAAGCTGCTCCTTTAATCATTACAACACCTGGGCCCATCCCATATTCCTCAGAGAGGGCTATTCCATGGAATGATGGGTTTTACGTCTATTACCACGACATTAAACAAGAGTTGTCTGACGAAGATGATGAAGAGGCTGATCCCAATATTAACAATATTGCAGGGACCAGGGATAAAATGGAGAGAGACAGTTAAACAAGAATTTTCCCAAGGAGGAATAAACTCAATAGAGGATTTACCCTATCCGAAGATGGACGGGAAAGCTAAAGAAAAACCTTCCCACGAGGAACAAATTGAGTGAGGAATCAAAAGGAATATACACCTTCCTGCCCATGGTTGACATTCTATTTGGGAGAGCAAAAACATTACTAGGGAAATAAATACACTACTTGGGGTAAACACAACCAGAGTGAATGGTCTCAGGAGCATCGAGAAAAATGTAAATACACATAAATGATGTATGAATGAATGTCATGTATAAGCTAACAAAACTGACATAAATAAGATAAACATATGATAACATCGGGGATGACAAATTAGTACACGAGCACTCGGGTAATCTCAACATCGCTTAGGGATAAGAAAGAGCCACTAGTGGAGTAAGAACTTGTTGTAAGGTCACTACTTCCGGAAGGAGAAATGTATTTTAATAGGGAGAAGCCCGAAATTCACTTCTTTGATAATTCAAAAAGAAGAGGAAACAATCTCCTTGGGAGATTAACTGGAGAATACTTAATTATCTTGAAACTTTTTTGAAAAGCATACGACCCTGTTAGTTCCACATTTATGAATTTAACTGGACTTAGAGATAACCAACGACATTCCCCTTTAAATTCACGAGTTATAAGAAAACACTCCATGTTGATGTACATATTTTAAAACGCATTTTCATTAACAAATTGTTTCAAAATCATCATCAAGAATAAAATAATTTTTGTAAATATGAAATAAGATAAGAGTAGCAAACAAACAGACAACGACTAAAATTTATTTAATGGAATGGTAGTTTGCAAATGGAGTAACTCCATGGATCTTTTTACAAAGTTTGGAAAATGGTTTATATAGGAAAGGTTATATTAAAATACACAATCCTATTCTCCCTATTAATTTTGAATTCCAACTGTGCTCAAACTTAGCTGGAGATGAATTTGATGAAGAGCCTTTGTAGGATAAACAACTTGAAGAAGATCGGTCTCAGACCAATGCAATTACTGGTCACAAAGATCCATAACTTTTGCCTATATTTCCCTTTCGAGTTTTCAATCTACCAGGATTATTTTTCTATTTATGTCTCTAACTTTTGCCTGGACCACCCTTTCGGGTTTTCAGTCCACCGAGATGCTCATTTTTGCCTAATTCATCGTCCATAGTCATAAGAGTCATTGCACATCTAATAAGTGCAAATTGTAGTTATTTTTTTATATACTTTTTGTTGCACTTATCAATGCTTTTGTTATTATTTTGTGAATAATTCCCCGATTTGTGGTAAATTCATTTAGTTTGTGTTTATTTGTGTTTTTGTCTACATAGTGTATCGTTTGCTATTTTTCCATTCTTTTTGTAGGTATTCAGGTATGTTTGGAGCATTGAGAAATAAAAGTCCAAAGGGCAGCTCCAAAGATGCGAAATTGATAAAATAAGGCAAAGAAAGAAAGTCAGAAAAAGAAATAAAGAAATGTTGTTGTCAAGCCTTATTAGACGAAGCCTAGGCGAGGAGCTTGCGCTTATGTCTCGTTGGGCGAGCCTGGAGTGAGAGGTTTTGATCAAATTCTAGTATCTTCTGTCTTTTCCTCGCATCGTGGTCACCAGACGAGGTTTTGTTTAGTCGTCAGGCGAAGCTTCCCTTCACCGGGAGAGGGTGGGTATTTTGGTCCAGTTGTGTACATGGAGCAACCTGGGCCTTATATTTAAGGGTCGTCACCGAGCGATGCTTTTATGTCGCCAGGAAACGCGTGCAGGCCATACTTTTGTATATATTTCATTTTCATTTTGTTATGTTATGGTTTTGGGTGTGTTTTTTATCTCCTAACTCCATTAACCTCATTTTTGTAGTGAATTGTCTTAGAAAACAACTATGGAGCTTGCATACGGATGATCTGGGGTGGGTTTCTCTTCGATCGGCGCTGACAAATCGGGATATTTGTGGTTCATTTTCTTCTTCTTTGTGTATTCTCTTTTAGTTGGGTTTGTATATATATTTACTTTAATCTTATGTATATTTGTCGCATATTGTTGCACCCCAAAATTTGCCCTTCTAATTTATTTTATTTTGGCTTAGACCTTCGCATTCATTCACATATATTTCATTAGGTCACTAACATAGCATGCACTGCATTCAATAAAGCGCTTGAGGTTCAAAGTTCAGTGGTTGTGCGATATTAGGGTTTCACAGTGGTTAAGGCGTTCATGTCCGATAAAGGCTGATTTCTTATTTAGGAAGCGAGAAGTGGAATTAGGGTTGTGACCTGGGTTGTTGAGAATTTATTTCTTCATCAAGACACGAAGCTATCATGGTTTATTTTCCTATATGCGATCAAAGCCAGGTTTTCAGTAATTATGTTCCAATCGGGTTTTTCATCGAAGATCATGAGATTAGGGTTGTTTTATCAAGGGACTTTCTCAGAAAGCCTTATATTGTGCGTCAGGAATTATCATCTTCAAGGGAATTTCTTAAGGATTTTAACCTTACGTTTTCAAGTGGACGTGTTTGTGACTTGAATTTCGAAAGTTGAAGCACAATACAAAATATAATGCAAGAGAGCAGCATTAATTGAGTCAGACGAATATGAATAAAGGCTTTGATTTTGGGCAAAGTCAATATGGAGAGGTTGTTTTCTTGATTGAGTTCATGCATGAATGTAATTGATTCGATTGAATGTCGTGTCATATCTTGAGTTCAGGACTGGTTCATTGAATCTGCAAATTGGTTGGAATTCGTTCACTGAGTCATAAAGTGAAGTGCTTAGAGGATAATCAAATGGTATTAAAGAAATCAAAGCGTTGGTTTTTGATTCAAGCGAGTTTAGGGACCTTAGTCATAAGGGTTTCTTGGAATGCAAAAGATAAGATACAAATGGCAAGACATAGTCGTTCATTCTAATTCCATTCGAGTGATTATTTTTGGTTCAAGTTGTCACTTTCAGTATCATCCAAATACCGTTCGAAATCAATCCAAATGCACTCCAAACCTTCATTTACATCATTCAAATTCAACATCTCAATATTCATCGTTCAATGTCCACTCGAAAATTCATGTTCGTTCAACCATTGTTTCTAGGCATCATGCAAATGTTTTCAAGCGATTCATTTTGAATTTACAAATCCATATTACATTCCAAAGAAACTACAAAAAAATTTAAGTTACACAAAGCTACACTAAATCTATCCTGCCTAAACATTGGCTCCATTATATTCCATGTTATGACTTCATGATGCCATTTTTGCAACCTCCAAACTCTTTGTCAAACTTTGATTCAAGCATGTACAAAGTTGCTTCTGCGATAGGTTTCATGTCCCGACTCCAAGTTTTCCAAACCTGCACTTTACAAAACATAAACAACCCATAAGTTCAATTAGAAAAATAGTTTTGTAGCTTGCAAACAAAACCAGTTCAGAAAAGAAGAATCGCGAAGATGCCATCTACACTATGCTAAAACAGTTTATGTGATAAATCCTGTTTCAAAATTATAGTTAGCATAAAATACTAATAGTCAACCCTGTACGTTTAGAATTTAGCAGTTCATGACCATTCAAAACCAGACTATATACTAGAATAGAACCACCGTGTTGCCAAACCTTGTACCAGACCATAACTACCATGCATTAACAAACTCAACTCATTCGTAACTCCTCTAAATTCAAAACAGCATTGCTAACAGGATTTATGCTAAGCCTAACTTCAAACCAATAGAAACTAATCCTAACTGTCAAAACAAGATTTTATAACTAAACTCCTAAATGTCCATAACTGAATTAAAAGATAGGTAGCTAACCTTTATTAAATCCATCTCACCCATTCCTTTTATAACAATCTGCTGTGACGACATGCTTCGGTCGGAATAAAAGCTGCAAAGCCAAAATCAAAACAGTTTGCATGACCTACACATTAACACAAAGAACAAATGTAATTAGCCTTTAACCAAAACTAGTTCAACATTAAAACAACCCTTCGTCTAACTATGACCCAAATCATTCAAGCTACCGATCAAACCTGCGCATGAAAACCTAAAATCAGTTAACCAAGTTAATAGTTGTAGCCCGGCATTCGACAGAAAAATAAGAAGCCAAGTCTTAACTGAATTCGGTTTTAGCATAACAGAAAATCAGCAGCTTCCAATAGAAGTCATAATAGCTCAACTTTCATTCAAATCTCAACCATTCATTTTTCCTAACTAATTTTTAGATTAACCACTCAAATTAATACAGAATCCCAACTTCTCTAAATGTTTCCTAACTTCTCTAACCGCTCATAACAAAATTCCAAATGCATCATAATAGAAATAACCTATAACTATCTAACAGAATTCCCTAACAGTTTCATTTTTTTTGAACTGCCACTAACAAACTTCTAACAGAATTGACAATAGAGGGAGAGTTAAAGAAGGAGAGGAAACTCACGAGGAGGACTGTACAGAACCCTTTCTTCACTCTTCATTTCTTAAGACCCTTCATCGTCTTCACGATTCTTCAATTCTTCTCTGAAGAATCACCAATGATGCCTCTCTTCTGATCTCATCTTCATCTTCATCAAGCGGCAGAAGCTGGTTTTGAATTTCCATCTGGTTCTTCTCCGCAGATCACCATCATCTGCTTCATTGATATCGCAACTGTCTCCGCAGCACTCGCATCATCATCTTTGCTTGGAGAGTTATTGGTAACAGGGCAACATCCTTCTTCATTATCAACGAATCTGCAAGATTCATTACCACAATCATCTTCATCATGCTTTGCGGTTCTTCAAGCTCGCTTCAATCTACTGCAATCACAGCAACATCACGTAATCGTAGGTACAGAGATAGCACATAAAAAATGCGAAATCAAAAACGCAAGGTGAAGAATTGACAAGATCGTAACGTCTACCTGAACCTTTCCTCAAAGGAGTTCTGAGATTCTGCTTGATACCTTCATTACTTTAAAACACTGTTAGAGAGACTCCGATTAGGTTTCAATTCATGATGGATTTAGCGAAGATAGGTTTGAGCTTGTTGAAAATAGATGGTGGATGCAAAGTGTGGGAGGTGACGATTCGTTGATCTGAATCCGAAAGGATGGACATGAGACAAGGGGAAAGGTTCAATTATGTTGAATGATGAGTACTATTTGAGGGCACGACGGAGATTGATATGCAGCGGCAAAGAAGAGGAAGGTATCGTTCACAGAGAAAGAAGATAGGGTTTTGGGATTGGGAACGTCTCAACACTTGAATCTCAAAACTCTATATTTTTTCTTTTTTCTTTTTCTTTCTTCTCCTTTATTTTTATTTAATTCTTTCGTTTCTTTTAATTCAATAACACAATATAGAATTTTTATGTGGAATTATCTTGAATGGAATTGGACCTAACCCCCAGCATATCCTCTCCTGGCCCGTCATCAATTTGTTGATATTTTTTGGGATTTTTACACAAAAAATATGCTATTGGATCCAAGAAAAGTGGGCTCGAATGCATAGGCCCTGCGCCAGATTTCTCCTTTGTACTATCTGTTTAGGAAGTACACCCCTGAGTTTTTAGTTTTGCTATTTTTCTTTAGCTTTCTTATTGATTGCCTTAAATTTTATTAATATTTTTTTCTTGAAATATTACTTGTTTCTTTACATGATAAAAAATAATAAAATCAAATATAAAAATTTGTTAGATTTTTTTATTTTATTTTAGTTTTAGGAAATTAAATTCCGATTAAATTTGAGATTGGTAATTCATCTTTGCTTGTTGAGATTTGAGTCTTATGCAGGTTTATTGTACGATATGCGAATGCGCTTGAGATTTAGATTGTGATTTATTTTCACATCGATGATGCATCAATACTTATTCCGAGCATTTGATTTCTAACTCCTTTCTTTGATGGGTGAAGCTTCCCTCAAAGATCGTCGGGTTTCTTTGTTTTGATAGGCTTTGCTACAGATTGATATCCGTTTGGTATTTTCTCTTGTTTATCTCTTTTCGCACTTTACTGCTTTCTAGATATCATGAAAAGTAGGAAATAAAGAGCGTGCGCTCGAAGTCGCTGTTTAAAGACCTGTAGCAGGCATTCCGCACTTCATTTATTGTATGTGTTGTGCTTGTGTTTGTTTACTTTCTTGTTGATCGACGATTCACTCAATTTAGAAATTGAGATCACGAATTCGCTCTCAGTGCATACTCCCTATAGGATTTTATCGCTTTCCTTTATTTCCTGTTGATCGATGAGTCACTCAATTTAGAAATTGAGATCACGACTTCACTCTCAGTGCATGTTCCCTATAGGATAGATTTGTTAGACTTTCTTTGGTATGCTGTAGGATCTCTCTAAGTGTGCTCTCTTGAGCTTATTGGCTTGCTTGCTTTATTTCGTCTTTGTGTGCATGTTTTGAGATGACGTACCCTCGACATGTTCCCTTAGGATCTCTCGATGCAACTATAGATGATGATTCGCGATAGACATAGTTTTAGGTGATAGACCCTTGCTATGCTCCTTTAGGACTTCTTGATTCATCTATAGATGATGATTTGAGATAGACATTAGGATTGTTATCCAAGCATGTCAACATAGGGTAGAGATTTCCCTTCAAAACTCAACCATAGGACCATCATTGTATGATAACATTAGGGATAGATCTAGGTTAGTCTCCCTTAGATGTTTTCTTTTCTTTTTTATCCTTGCATTTAAAACAAAAAAAACTTTATTTTTCTTAGGAAATGCATAAAAGATCTAACAATTTTCAAATCCTTTTTTAGGTAAAAATTTCAACCAATGCAAACTCTTTTGCCTACGGGCTTTTTTACAGAACTTTTCAGAAAGAACATGTTAATTCACTTCTGTACTGACGCGTAAGTCTCCAAAGATCGAGTTGTGACAGAAGGCGAAATTAATATTGTTCGTTAAAAAAATACAAACCAATAAAAACATGTGAGCCGAACTACGGCTGCTCTGATTCCTTAAAAGAGATACGTAGGCATTGGGGTAGGACCCGAGCGAGCACAACTTTTATTTTCCCTACATTCTTTTCTCCTTTCTTTTGTATGCATTCCCTGTACAACTTAGATATGAGTGTATACCATAGAGTACTACGGGCGTGTGGGGTGCTAATACCTTCCCCTCGCGTAATAGACTCCCTTACTCGTATCTCTTGGTCGTTCAACCTTGATTTCACCCTTCTCAGGTTTACTCGATGTTTACCTTTCCCTTCCTGTGGGATAAAAAACGTTCGATGGCGACTTCATTGATTTTATTATCAGTTGATTATTCAGCCGGTTGTTTCAGCTGGCGACTTTACCGGGGATAGGTCGACCAAATGCTGGTCCATCCCGGAGTCGCTCCTAGCTCTTGTTTCTTTTTATTTGGGTGTTTATTTTATGCTTTCAGTTTATTCATTCATTTTGTATATACTTGAGCATATGTATGCATTGCATTTTACTGTCTTCCATATACTACTGTTGTAATGGATCTGCTTCTTATTGCGTGGGTGTTACTATGAGGTAAAAGGCCCAATACCCAGGCCAGATTTGTATACCACATGAACCCTAGGAATAGAGTGGAACATGAACGGCTAGTTGACTTAGGTCTCGCTATCTCCGCCATGTCGTCCACACTTAGACGAGGTACAAATGAGGGGCTATCATTCTCACGTAGGTGATACGACGATAGTTTTTCAGGAGTACCCTCAATTCTGAGTTACCATTGCCTTACCCTGACCTAGCCTTCACCTGTGAGTGGGGGGAATTATTATCACATGTACAATTTGTGACTATGTTCAGCGGTGACTATGTTCATATGGTTACTATGTTCAGACGACAACTATTTGTTTTAATGGTTATGTTCTAGATTTCTGTTGATGACTTTATGCAGATGCTATATTCTGTTGGTGACCGTATAGTTCTCGAATTTATTTTTCGAGTTCCTAACTTGCTTACTTTGAGGTTCATTCAGACCTTCGATCTTAGTATTCCCACTATGTTCAGAAAATGCTCAACAATATCCGATGTTCCAGAAGCCTTGACCCCGTATAATGGGAGATCTACATGGTACTTGGTTCTTGTATGTGCGGAAGCTATGTCAGACCTTTGATCTGATGATACTCATATGGTTCAGAATAATGCATCAATCATATTCAAAAATGATGAAAACTTGATCCCATTTGATCCCATGCCTTTGCATACATAACATGGTTAACCAAATGCTTAACATACATGTTCTATTATTTCCAAGGAATATTTGCAAGCCTTTTGTTGAACCCTTCCATCTTTGACTTGCTTAAAATCCATATCAAAACATGTAAATCCCTTGGAAATGACAGAACGTGGCAAGACATTCATTCATGCACCCCATGCATATTCATTCATCCATGACAAGTATTCGAAGATTGAGGATTCTTATTCAGACCTAGTGTTCTCCTTAGAGGTTTAGACTTGATTTCTTACTGTCACATGTGAAGATATGAAAAACACAAGAAGGGGGGGGGGGGGGGGGGTTGAATTGAAAACTTGGATAAAAAACAGCTTAATGACACAGTATTTTTATCCTGGTTCGTTTGATCTCAAACTACTCCAGTCCACCCGTCAAGGTGATTTCGCCTCTCTCCAACGAGGTCTTAATCCACTAATCTCAGCAAGATTACAAAAACTACTTTAACAACTGTTAAAGTCTTCTTGAGTACAAACACAATCCGGTTAATCTCAAGGATATCTTTTACAATATGATTAAACAATATGTGTTGTTGTTTTTCTAACAAAAATGGTTTATCACAACTGTGATAAATTACACAGGTTTATAGCTTAAAATAAAGAATGAATTTGCTTGCAGCTTGAATATGCGTGGTTGGTGATCTTAGCAAAATCGTTGTGTGTACGTACGTGCTTCATTTTTCAAGTTGACTTGTTTATATAGGCAGTGTAATGACGTTGATCATAAAGCATGTTTAATGTCATTAACACACTTTCCTTTTGGAGAAGATCCTGTCTGAAGAAAGTCGTTGGAATTGATGCTGTCTTGAATGTTCAGTAACGCTTCAGAGTCTTTTCTCCTTACTGCTGACGACGCTTCAGAATATTGATGACTTGGTTTGATATGTTCTTGTTCATAATCATAGTTTACTATAATTGAGCGCAGGTTCTGGTCACCAATCTTCAGCGTATAATCTGATTGCTTCAGCGTGTAACACTTATGGCTTATCTTCTTATGCTGATCTGATCAGAACTTCTGCATACATAAAACATATTTTTAAGGAGCATATTTGTTATTTGTATTTATTTATTCTTTGTATTTGTTACCATCAAAACTCTAACCAAGGGTTGTAGAATCAAACTATGTTCTAACAATCTCTCCCTTTTTGATGATGAGAAAAACCAGATTTTTCAATTAAAAAATAAAGAATAAAAAGTTTAGAATAAAGAAGAAAAACTCCCCCTGAGTTGATTACTTCCCTTAAGTTCCTTGAGTCTTTGAGCATCAGAGTTTAATTGCGTCTTTCATCAGAGTTTGTACCTGTTCAAGCTTTTCAAAAGATAGAGGTTAAGTAGTCCAGAATGTTTGAGACTTCTGTCTCAGTAAACCGTTATTGAAAATATCTTACTGTCTCCCCCTTTTTGTCAGTTATCAAAAAGGCAATATAATCAGAGCTAAAAAGTTGATTTATATTAAAAAAAACTAGAAGCAATGATAAGTAGTTCAGAACAGAAGCAATGTAAAACAAACATTACAGATAAACAGATTTAAAACAGAAGAGAATCTAAGTGGGAGGAGGAAGGCG